ACCAACAGCAGGCAAGGTAGGTGAAGTGTCTTTCCCAAAGACCGACAGAGCAGAGGTTGTTACATGCACTAAGTCCTGTAACAAATTGCTTTACAAACGTGTGACATCCAAAACATATACTTTTATTATCCGTGCTTTTTCTGTGGCAGCTCCTAAGCTGTGGAATGATCTGCCTCTGAGCATAAATAGGCCACTTCTCTTGCTGTTTTTAAGTCCCTTCTTAAGACTCATCTTTATTCCTTGGCTTTTGGCACAATTTGAGAGGTTTTGCTTTGTTTTATTCTCTTTGTATACTAATATGTATTTTACACTCGTTTTTTTTTTTTTTTCTATTTTATAATTTTATTGTATTTTATGATTGTGTACAGCACTTTGGTCCTGTCCGGTGCATAAAGTGCTTCAGAAATAAAGTTGGTATGGTATGGTGGCCTAAAACTAAAATAGAAAATATCTTTAACAAATGATAAGAGGACAGAAAAAAAAAAATGTCTCCACATTGCTGTTTTTCTACAAGCTTCTCATAATACTTTGATTGGATTTTGTTGCGTTCCTTCTGACAAAACTGGTGCAATTGAGTCTGGTATGTAGGCTGCTTCATTGGGCCCCATTTCTAAGCTCCTAATACAAGCTTTCTAAGGGAATAAGATCTTGGGTGTCTGTATTTTCTTTTTGTCAGTTGAGCCTTTTTGTAATAAATCTAGCTGTATATACTTAGGGATATTTTTCCATTTGTGTGTCTTAATTCTTTGGTACAGTATTTTCACATAGTAATCAATCACGATAATGCCATTTTTTTTGGTGAAGTGCACCAGTGGTTCTGCTGGAAAACAGACAGCATTATGCCACCTTCCTTGTCTTTAACAGTTTAGATTACAGAGTATAATCTTTTAATTTTGCTTAAGGAATAACTCTCTTCTTCCTCTCTGAGTGGCACTTCAGTCTATTTAGGACACCCATTTTTGATGTGCTCAACATTAAGGAGCTGAAATTAGCGGTTATCAGTCCCATAGAATGGCTCCAGGGTGTTCCTCCTTTAACTTATAATAGGTTTCTTATGGCTGATTATATGCAGCTTACTCTTACTAACAGCCACTTCGGCTGCATCTGTAATCTTATTTACAATACGCCTCCTTCATACTTTTAAATTTTGTCATACACAATGTACCTACTTTTTTTTTAATGGCATTTTAAAGCTTCAGTTTGTCGTACGGATTAAAGTTTTTTTTTTAAACAAATCAGTTGTTTTTTGTTCTTTTAATATAAGGAATATAAGAAAATATATATTTTTTTCACTGTGGATAATGATACCATCAGACAAGCTTTTGTAAGGCTTTTTAAAAGCTTTTTCACTTTTGATTTGTGGCCTTCTTCTAGAATTGTGCAGTTTTGAAAATGAAGCAGTGATGATCTTGTTGACAAATATGGTTATCATATTGCGTGTGATAAATTTAGATTTTGCTCACTGCCATATTTCTCTTCTGTGCTTCTAACATCTCTGTGGCCTTTAACAAAACCCTTTGCAACTGGCTGGGTATTATATTGGTAGACAAAGCATAAAATATTTCTCTTGACTAAATCACGAGAATTACAATGTTTTAACTCTCTTGGAAATTAGGTATAGGTAGGCTTGTTTAAAAAAAGGATTTTATTTTATTGAAATGGTCAAATAGAAGAAAATGTAGGTAAAATTGGCAAATGTTTGTTAATGTTATGAGATAAAAGTTTAACAGCGCTGTGATTCTCATTTAACACTAGATGGCAGTGCATCTCAGTGTGTTGTTCTCAGTGTGAGAGAATAGTTGAGATATGGAGAAAATGTGTGTGTTTGGGGTGTTGAAATCATAAAAAATAAAGGTACAAAAGAAGGTATAATGGAAAATTTGTAAGCTGTATAAGGATCAATTGAGGGGATACTGTCAAAGTATATCCAAGGCATTTAAGCATTTTATTCCTTAGACGTAGTTAAAGGAAAGATTTTTAGAAATGAGAAAAAAAGTTGACAGAAAAGTAACAAATGAAACCAAGTAAAACGGGCAGCTATTTATGAAACTAAGTAAGAGCATGCAGAAATGGGATTTATTTACAGTCATTTTTAAAATAAATTTACAACATCTAAAAGGATTTAGATGCACTAGGTGTGTGTGATTAATTAGAGATTATTTCAAAAAACAAGCAAAAAAAAAAAAAAACACTTTATAACTATATTTACTCTTAAGTAAATGCAGGGAAATATTTATTAGACTAATTGGAAAAAGTGAAATATATTTGTTCTGCCTTTTTAAACAGATTTTGCCCCCTATGACACAAATAAAAAAAATGGTTCCCCAACAGTATTTAGCAAGTAACAAGTGTTAGTGTTACACAGATCAAAATGATTCAAAAAGGGTCTCAAAAAACAGTTTTCAAACATGTCCCATTTAAAAATGTAAAAGCAGAAAAGGCCCTGGAAAGTCTTCCACTCTAGTAAGAAACAGGGTGTGTTTTTATATATATATATATATATATATATATGTATATGTATATATATATATATATATATATATATATATATATATATATATATATATATATATATATATATAAAACACATATGTTGAACATAAAACGTTGAGATTCATTTGTTTAAATTTCAATATTTTTTTTTTCTTAGCAGTATCTAACATGTTCTGCTAAAGTTTAGAATAGGCTTGAACCAACGGCAAATTATTTCCATGTTGTGTTACCACAGAACACCAGCAGATGGCAGGATTTGTTTAGCCTTTTTGCTGCAAACCACCTGGAAATGATCTAAACTTTGTTAAATTGCATTAATCAGGCTGGGTGTGTGTGGATTATTATTCTAGTCTTATTTTTAAATCCAGATTCCTAAATGTAAATATTTACAAATTTATGTCTTGTCCATATTTTAACCTAAACAAAGAAACTGTATCAGACACTTTGCTTGCCCATTGTTTTAGTCTTTTCAATCACATTTACCATATTAATAAATAATGCAATATTATTAAATTGGTAGATATGTAGATAAATTAATAGGTCAGAAAAATTATAATTATAATTTATTATAATTTGTTTAGACTCTATAAAACTACGTTAAAACACTGTAGTGCTCTTTTAAAATGTACTGTGATTCTGATCAGTGTTTAAGTCAGTAGCCCAATTTCCTCACAGCACCTTATAAACAAATCTAGAAAACTGTTAGCTGTTAAAAACTATGCAAAACCTCCTTCTGGTGGGTACAATTTAACCCATGGTATGTGCTAAATGCTATGCACTAAGTTGCATAATAATAAAAAAAGAGTCTTATGTTAAAATGCAAATAACCATGGAGAAAATATGGCTAGAAGCCAAATAAAGGAACACATGTGCATGGATTAACTATTCGTGGCTATAAGAGTCTTTCAGAAACACTTAAATCTGAATTCCCTTTCATACAGTTCAACATTTCCTCTTAGTCCATTTTAAAAAAATCAGAGTTAGGGAAAAGGAAAAGAACCCATACAACTCCTTGATTATTGTATTTTGGGTTTTTTAAGGGCAGAAAGAAAACTTTGAAAGTATAAAGTAGACCAAAACCTCATTGATTAAGATAAACTTTGGCCAGTCTACATCTTAAAATTGCAATCTAAAATTTTTCAAACTTTGACCCATCGGTTAAGTTTGTATGCTTGTGTTCTATTTACTTCGCATCTGAGTTTACATGAATAAGAAAATCCAGCAGAAATGTTCAGAATTGCACAACATACTTTTGTCTAGACAGGGATCAAATGTTGAACAAATTGTATGGGAATCATTATTACTGCATTGATAGACTTTTTAAATTTTAAATTAACATTGACATAGAATATACGGGGCTGCATGGTGAAGCAGTTGGTAGCTCTGTTGCCTTGCAGCACCAAGGTTTGATTCCAGGCCTGGAATCTTTCTGCATGGATGTTGCCTGTTCTCTCTGTGCGTGCTGCGGTTTTCTCTGGGTACTCTGGCTTCCTCCCACAGTCAAAAAACACAACTGTTGGGTTGATTGGTGTCTCTAAAATACCTTTGACTGCATGTCTTATGAGTTGCCCTGCTATGGACTAGTAACCTGACCAGGGTGTACCGTGCCTTTTACCAACCTTGGTTAACCTTCTTTCAACCATGAAACTGCATGGCTTTTTTTATTTTATTTACTAATTCTGATGTTTACATTTATAGTTAGTAGGCCTACACTTGGCCATATGTCTTCTAGTGTATATCAAGAGTAAGAGTTTAGATTAAAACACAAATCTGTAATTTCATAATTCAGTTGAAATGTATGACATATAGCCTATATAGTAGCCACAATGATACTGAATTAGGTGCATGCCTGCATGCTCTCATGCTCCTGCTCCTGTCACAGTTAATGAACACTCACACAAACAGCTGGAGCCTGCGTTGCCTTGACGTCACTCAGATCGATCCTGCTCCCAGTGCGGCGGGGGTAAGCAGGGTGATATTAAAGTGAGGCTGTCACAGCAAGGCTGAGGTTGAAGCACAGAGGTATTCCAGGCAGGGCAGGAGGCACAGAAATAGTGACTTTATAGGACAGTGCAGGACTTGCACAGTGTTAGGAGCACCTCTGTTCTGGAAATAGGGAAGTGGCCTGTTCTAGTTTGTGACTAATAAAATGCAATTTCCTGTCGGTAGCCTCGGTCCACTGCATTGACATAGAGTAGCTAAAGATTGGTGGTGCTTCTGCGTTTATTATAACATCCTTTTTGTGTTGTTTAGTTGTTCTCTGCGCTTGCCTTTGGGCTTTGCAGTCCTCCTCTTTGCTGTAAAGGTGTGCATACAGTCTGCAGCGCGCGCTGACAGCTTTCAGTCCCTCCTGAGCTGCGCTGTCAGGAGATCCAAGCTGGAAGACATGTGACTCCGCAGAGAGCCGCACAGATTGGCTGAGCTCATCTGTGACCTCAGCACACCGCCTGTGTCCCTCCTCAGCATTGCCACCCCCACACAAACACACACACAAATAAACCCTCCCTCCTTCTCTCCTCCCTACCTCTTATTTCCCTCAGTTGGCTTTTTTCCCCACCGCTCAGCATCCTCTCCTGCGTGTAGCTGGAGCCGCAGCAGTAGAAGCATCCATGGCTCCAACTCTGGGCTCAGATGGACAGCAAGCCTAACCCTACCCCCCCTCTCTCCTCTTTTTTTCCTCCTTTCTTCCTTCCAAGCTAGTTGACAGGCACCGTCTGGGAGCGTTTGAGGCTCAGCCAGGGCGTGATCCACGCGCGCGCAGCTGCTCTGCTGAATCTCCTCCGCGTGGCTCCTGCTTTCATTTTAGGCTCTCTGGAAATAGTGGAATGAAAATCTGCAACCATGATGGAAGGCAAGCTGTTTTTTTATTCTTATTATGCTGTTCTTGCCCCCCCCCCCCCCCCCCTCCACCCTTTTTTTCATATATAGGGTAATCCTTTTTTATGCCCCGTCCTACTGTGCCTCATCTGCTATGTTTAGGAGGTTCAGATGTCATAAGCCACTCTGTTATTTTAAGTTGGTATATTTAAGGGAATTGCATGTTATTCTTAGAAGGGCACAGCCGCTGAATGTCATCCATAGAGGCAGAATGGCGAGCGTAATTGAAGCTTGCACCTTGGGAAGCGCGTCCGCATATGTTGCAGTGCCCCCCACTCCTTTTTGCCACTTCACATCATGGGGGATTATTTGGATTTATTGTGCAGGAGGGCTTATGTGCCCAGCTGGCTTGCTTGTAGAAATTCTTTTGTATGATGTGCACTGAAATGCTGGATCAGCCGGTCTCCGCTGTCATGTTTGACTCTGGGTTCCTGCCTGGATCTCGTGTCTACATCAGGGAATATAGTTGGAAGCTGTAATTTTCCTGCTGCCTTTCCCCGTTGCTGTGAGCAGGGATTTGATTGTAGTTTTATTATCATATCTCTTTAACTGATGACGTCATTTGAGGCAAGGCCGGTGATGAATCCCCTATCACCTGAAAATTAAACACACAACTTAAACTGTATGAAACTCAATGAGGAATATTGTGAAAAAGAAATGCATAAATATATAAATCAAACTGATTTTTATAAGGAACATCACTATTAGTGCTTACCATCTGGCTCAACAAATAGCCTATTCCAGATACTTAATTCAAGCTGATTTGAATACTATTATTGAATCCAGAGCTATGATTGGCCAATTAAAGGACTTTAATTGGTGTGTCATCTGGATGTGTGCATCTCTGTGTGTATATTTAGAAAGTAGAGGATATAACTGCTTCCTGCTTGCTTCTAGAAACTGGTCCTTAGAGAATTATTCTCTGGAAGATGTACAGAACAAAATTTAATTTATATTTTGTGTTGGTTTACTATTTATCTTTTTGTTATCCTTAATTGAGGTCTTTGCTTCAGCTGTCTTTTTTAATATCTTTCAAGTTGACACTGATTGAATGTTTCTTCCTGTTAAAAGGGAGGTTTTCCTCTCCACTGTCGCTACAAGCATGCTTAGTGTGAGGGCATGCATTCAAGTCAATGATTCGATGCAATCAACTGGCTTTCCTTAGAAAGAAAACTTTGAATCACTTTGACTCTACGATCTGGTGAACGGTAAAGTGCCTTGAGATGACAGGTGTTGTGAATTGGCGCTATATAAATAAACTGAATTGAATTGGTGTAAGCTAACCAAGAGGCTGCAGACTTGGAAGTCTAACATTCTTCTGACAGCAATACTATCTAGATTGTATTGGTTTCCTGTTTAGATGGATTTAATTTCTAGTCTATACTCTGCCTGACATGTCAGCACAGTTTTGTTTTGATTGTTTTGGTAAAGTTTATTTCCCCACATCTATAGAAAAGGCTAAACTTAGCCTCACACGATCAGCATAATGACAACAGCTGTCACCAACATCTCTTTTTACACCAATATCCAGCTACCAACCACTCGGGTGTTTTCATATTTATCACGACCATATGTCCATGCTGTTTCAGTCTGTAGTCATGATTATCCAGAACTGCATGCATCACTGACCATATTTATAGAAAACTGTTGTAGGTGTAGAAAAAAAAAAAAAAAAAAAAAAAAAAAAAAAAAAACACTAAATCAACTGTTATCTCTGAGTCATGTTTTCAGACTGAGAAAAAAAATCCAACCATTATCTTGACAGTTTAATAAAATAGAAAATATTTTTAGCTTAAGTAAACATTGGTGGTAATTTTGATACCAGTATCATCCCTCTTAAATGGTTAATGATGTAACCAAAACACATTTTATTTGTGTGCCTCACAGTTTAAGTGATGAAGAGATTTGAAATTGTAATTTATGGAATTGTTTCCCAGGAGTGTTCTTTTTTTTTTTTACTGCTGGTTTCTTTCAGCTGCTGGCCACAAATTTAGCTAACGATTAAGAGGATTATAATAGAGGTAAATAAGAAAAATAAATCTTTAAAATGTTGCAAACAAAACCAGAAGCTTTTCACATCCAAGACTTTTTTGAGAGGAATGCCAGAAATGTTTTCTGTTCTAACTGTAACTGTCTGGCATGGTGGAGGATCTATGATGCTGTGGGCCTGTTTAAGCCTGTTTTTCTTCCAAATCCCCTGGAGTCTTTTTGCATGTTGCCATTTTCCATTATACCAAAACAAAAAGCCTGTTAGACTTTAACAGTTAACTGAAAATCCAGTATAGATTTAGATTTAGATCCTAGAGTCACAACAAAATCAACCCTCTTCCATGATTCTATAGACAACCTGGTAGGGGAGCTAAATGAGTCAATAAAAGTTGATTTCTTTTTTGTTTTTGTTTTAGCAGGGCTTTAGGATATGACCAAAATGTATTTCATGATATAATGCTTACTTTTGGTAATTACAATAGAGGTTTGATGTTATTAAAGGGGTCACAGAATGATTCTGTAGGGTATTTGGTGCCGGTCCTTAAGGTCTCTGAATAAGGTGTGTAACATTGGTTGGGGTGAAAATGGCATATTTGCTGTTCTATGAGCCCTAATGCAAGCTTAGTTATAAGTCCTAGAATGAAACAACAGGTTTTCTTACTTTTATGGTATGCTCATGAATATTTAGATGAGCTGTGCTCTGATTGGTTGGTTTACAACGAGCGAAGCTGCTGAGCAAAGACGCATCATAGCAACAAGCCCTCACTCACTAAACATTGAAATTGTTGATAAGCTAGGGTGAACAGATGTCACCTTTTTCCCGGACATGTCCTACTTTTCACACCTAAAAAAATGACTGAATCCGACAAAAGTACAGGCCAGAACCAAATAAGGCAACATCCCAGAGTTTACGTCAACTCGGGGCTTCATTTGAATTCGCCCGTTTTATGGTGGAAGTTTAGAATTGTGAGATTTGCAGAGAAAGGAGGTGTCAATGGGTTTTGAACTTCTCTGTACGTCCATTTCACCCACTGAATTATCGTTATTTATCTATGACAATATAAACTAGTTTTTGCATTCTATGACCCCCTTAACTAAATATTATTTTGACAAGAACAGGTACCTTTACATACAGACTCAAATATAGATAAATTGGCTTTAAAAAAAAACCACACAAATTAAACCAAATAAAACATGGAAAAGTCAGTCAGTGGCAAAGGCCGTAATTATAGTCCTATTGTATACTGAAATGTTATATATCTGATATTGAAAAAATTTATATTGTGATACATAGTGATACTGAATTATTGTAAACCCCTATGTTTTAGGTGTCATTGTCTATTGACAGCACATGTTATAAATAGTATGCAAGATATAATCGGCCCCCTAACGGTATCGGCCTTTATCTGCCTTAAAACTGAATATCGGACATCGGCCACCCCACTGATATTTAACCCGATATTGGATCAGCTTCTGAGTTTCTGAAGTCAAAAAAAAAAAAAAGAAATACTACTTCTTCCTCAAAAACGAGGGAAAAAATATTGATACATTAAAATATCACAATATCTTCATATGCTGATATATTGCCATTAGAAAACACCACATCAATCTCTTTTACTAATGAAATATTGCTATATGTCATCGTTATGCTACGAAATCCCCCAAAAATTCACGAAATTTTGCCATATTTTTATATGTTGATATATTGACGCGGTATCGATCTATTTTACTAACAAAATCTCACAAGAATTTGCAAAATATCCCGAGAGTTTGTAACAGAACGATGACATCGAGATTTTGAAAGTAAAATAGATCAATACCGCGTTTTTAAAAATCAATTTGATTTCAGCATATGAAAATATATTTGAGTATATTATTTTCAAAGTGTCAGAAATGGATAACAAAACTGCTATTTTTAATGACTACTTATTTTTGTCCAGCTTTAACATCGGTATCGATATCGGTTATCGGCTACATGAGTTTTAAAATATCGGATATCGGCCAAAATCCCAATATCGTGCATCCCTAGTTATAAATGTTTCTACTTCTATAAATGTTTGTTTCCTTGCATCCATAATGTTAAAAAACTGAGCTGTTTCGAAATCTTGATAATTTGGAAATATTTGTTCACAGATGAAAATAGATTTGCCTAATTATAATTGACTAAAAAGCTGTTTTTAGTGCACATCTTTCTAACTTGATCTCCAAATTGACTAATGAGCTTTCTGTATTTAATGCTCATTTTTTGGCCTGGAAATGAGCTCTCCTCTCTCTGTCTGCAGATGCCAAGCTTCACATGAAGTAACAAATGAGAGGGTAAAAAAAAAACATTTACAATCGCTGTGCTTCCATTAGCAAGGCTGGGACAGGCTTAACATAGAGTGTGTTCTGGCGGGATTACATTCAGGTGTTAAAATTGGATGCTAATCCTTGCTAGCTGTGCTTTTTAAAGCCCAGTGCCACTGCCAGCATGACTCTCTTCCCCACACACGAGGATAGAAGTTTTGGGAGCGTTATCTAATTTTAATCAAGAGCAAAACAGGTGATTGCGTCTCATACTATTAGTTTGAATTAACAACTATTCGCCTCAAGACATGATGTTGAGAAAAGCACGATAAATTGGGGCAGTTTAATTGAAATCAATAGCAAATCAGCAATTGTTAATTATTTTTCACTAGATGTGGTTTGATGTTTACAGAATTAAATGTAAACCAGGATTCTAAGTTCCTAAAGGGCAATTGTGTCAAACTAAAAAAAATAAAAATAAAATAATTGAGACATAATGTTATCTGCATCAGCATCAGTGAACTACATCATTTTTTTTCTATTTTCTTAAAGATATAAAATAAATAGTTTCTCCATTTTCTTGGACGCAAGTAGGTCTTCTCTGCTGCTAGTTTGCAAATGGAGGAAATTATTTAGTTATTATTACTATACTCAGCAAGTCGCTTTGCTGCTGTATTTTTGTATGATTGCATCCTAATA